ATTGAGTAGTAAAGATAATTCAAGTGAAGACTTCTTCATGTCAGAACTAAAGGTTTGGTGTGTACAGGATTAAACCCACTCAGCCCAATCCAGGGGTGAGAGGGAAACCTTGTATTTCAGCACAGGAAACAAAATCCACGAGACAGTCTGTACTCCTAGGATTCACAACAGTTTGCCACCAGAATCTCTTCAAAGGGGTCCCCACCCAGCCTAAGAGCAGAGATTCAATCTCTTAGCTGGCATCTAGGACTTAACACATCAGCAGCTCTAACTCAGAGGTGCACACAATTACACTCACAATGGTAGCTCTGTGGTCAGCTTAGACACAAGATTTAGCCCTGGAGTTCAATTACTGCATCAGAGTCAATTACAAATATGAATGATCTTTATTCAGTGCAAAGCATAACAAGAGACTATAAAGGATAAAAAATTATAACCTATGGCTATTTGCCATTACTGCACATTAATAATAATCATAGTTACCGAGTTAAGTGTAGCATCAGGTACTCCAAAACTGTCCATTGCATAACAGTACAGGTAGGCACCAAGGGATTTTGAAGAGAAATCCCATTTTGTGCAGGGCTTTAATCCAGGACTACTCAGAGATACAGATCCACAATAACAGAAGATTGGCAACCGGCAGTCAGTTCACAAAGAAACTTTTTGTTTCAAAAGTCAGGGTCCCAGGAGCAAGAGCAAGAGAAGCAAGAGAGATCTTCCATGAAGAACCACGGAGTTATACCCCATTCCAGTCACCATCAGCTGTGGTCATCAGCCAATCACGAGCGGCAGGGGTGTGTGCCCAATTTCTCGTTGCCATAGCTGCCACATCAGGTGTGTGGGGATTGGCTAAGGAGTCAGAGGCTCTACCTGCAGTCAGGTGATCTAACTTCCAGCTGTCTCCATTGTGTATGTGACATGGCCCATGTAGGCCATACAGAGGAGCCTTCAAGTCTGGCTCTCAGCAGAGAGGTGTTAAGGAATGTGGGTATCTGGCATGATTATATGGCATGGCTATTTGGTGGCTCAGCCATCTGGTCAAGTGACAGAAATCACACTAGGCCATCTGGCCTGCAACAGGAAAAGACACACAGAATGTCAGAATGTCATCACAGGAAGAAGGCATGAGAATTTAGAAATAATATTTCTATACATGGTGCCAATGCCCAAAGATATATAGAGTTCAAACCCAGTATCCCATCCAATCAGTTCATTCATTCAGCTGGCCTAGATTTCATGCTTTTCTACCCCCCCCCCACCTGTGAGACACCCGTTAGGTTATCTATGTTAGCGGCGCAAGCAGAGACAGCATCCAAGGTCAGTGTGCATTCTTCCCAGAGACAGGGAGGCATCTTAGAAAATAGTTACGCAGCTGCACAGCAAAGCATCCCCAGTCACACCCACAGAAGCCCCCCCCCCTTCCCAGTGGTCTACAGCAATACACTTTTCCCATGGCAAACAAGGTGCCGAGTTTAACACCTTTAACGGAAGAGGGAAAAGGAGGCAATTTCACCTGATTTTCCCTCCTCACTTCAGCACTACAGTCTGCATGGATTTGTCCATGATTCTGGTAACCTCTAACGTCAGCTATCTGGGTATAAAAAGGACTGCTGTGGAAAGAGACAGCAGGAAAGATCCATATCCACAAGTATGTTGTGCTGGTGGTTGGTATTTGGTTTGATGGGGCTTGTTTCCTTGTTAGTTTGCCTAGCATTGTAAGCATAAGAAGGCAGGTAGGGATTGCTGATTCAAAGAAGCACATTGCCTTCCAATTTTAGACCTCTCCTATTCCTTCAAGAATTGCTCACTTCTAGAGCACAACTGATGGCTTGTTGGATGGATCCCATGTAAAAGTGTTTCCCACATGCTCTCCTCTCCTCGGGTGCTTGTGATGAATTTAGTGGACTTAGTGGCTAGGAAACAAAATTCACTTTTTAAGAAACCCCGAGGTTATTGTTAAATGTATAAAACAATTCTGAAATGATTTAGTAAATGGTGGTGGGATAGTAAAATAAAGATGCTTTCAGTAGCCCATTTTTTATGGCTGTATATTACAAATGTAGAACATATTTTATGTGTTTGTAATTCCGTGCTATTGAATTTAGTCTGTAATGAAATCATTACCAGCAACAAAAGCTTGCACCTTTCTTCTGGGAAGTATGGGCAGCATATTAGGTGTCTCTAGTGAATCTTTCATGGACGGTTGTGAGTGTGATATATCAAATACGTATTTATAAGGTATGATTGCAGAATATCTTTATCCTCTCCCACCAGATTGTCCTTTAGATGACAATTCAGACTATGGTAGCTCTGATGAGCAGTTTTTGAAGAGTTCATACTTTTGGGTACCAAAAACATTTTTTAAAAAGTTTAATTTTTCAGCACAGAGTAAGCTTGTTCTAATATTGCAACAAGTGGGTGCACTTTTCCCAGTAACTTGGTTTTTTTTACCCCTTTGTGTGTGATCTCCGTTGGGAAAATTTGGGAGCATATTCTCTATTTGACCCTTGGGATCTCCTCCTTGAAGAATGAAACTGTTGGCTTCAAGAAGAGACAAATCCTAATCCACATAGATCTGGAGAAACCCATTCATCCACAATATTTACCACAGGAGCTGTGGTGTCTATAAACATATAACTAGGGTAATCAGAGTTAAGGTGTTGAAATAGAAAGTAATAAACTTAATTTACTGGATTTTTATTTTTGCTTCTTAATGGCGGTTCCAACACAACTGACCCTTAACTTATAATATTGAATGTCTTTGTCGCTATTAGTAGTATCCAATGCTCCCTCTAAGCTGTGGAGTCTTGTGAGCAAAAATTCTACTTTGTGAGGTAAAAGCTGTGAGCGAGCGATTTGGCTACTGCATCAATTAGTTTGCTCTGGAGCCATCCTTCTTGAGCTAAGACAAAAATGTTTGAGCCGAAGGCTAAAAAACTGTGAGCTAGCTCACACTAACTCAGCTTAGAGGGAATACTGGTAGTATCTGTAATTATTAGCAGCAAGGAGACTTGAGACCAAGAATAAGAAAAGATCATTAATGAATAGACACTTAAGCACTTTCAAGAGAGTACATAAATCACTTTTCTTTATTCCAGACATCACTTATTTTTTTCTCAGGCAAACATAAAACCATCCATATGTCTAAGAATACCGTTGATACACAGCATGGGCAGTGGCAATATTTTAGCTAAAGAGTAATGTGTGAGGTAGTTCTGTGTTTCTAAATCTTTAGATTTTTTTACTATTTCTTACAGTGAATATCAACATCCAGATACATGAAAATGTTCTAAAGGCTTCTAGCTTAGATAACCTGTTTTGTTTATCTAAACAATACTTGCTCTTTCCTGTTATTTATTATTTATTATTTGGACTTTTAGGCCACCCTTCCCTGTGAGCATGGCTCAGGGTGGTTTATGATAATCTAGATTAAGTTAAAACCAATAATAAAACATAATACGGAGTTAATAAATAAAACAAGCTATTCCAAGGTGGTGAGGAATTTCAACAGAAAATTTGCAACTTCCCATATCCTCCTAAGGGGGGGCAGGTAAGGGGGAGCAGGAGACCTGAGAGCACCAGACTACTTGGTGTCCCGTTGCTGTCCTCAACCAAATGCCTGGGAGAACATCTCTGCCTTACAAGCCCTGTGGAAAGGTAGTAAATCCCGCAGGGCTTCGATGTTCTCCAGCAGAGAGTTCCACCAGGTCTGTCTCTCCCATACCACCTGCTCTCTTGACAGTGTCTTTCCTGTGAGCATGATTTTTTAAATACATTCTGTGTAGAAACTGAATAAAGCTGTGGCCTGCTTTACTCCACACAGTTTTCTGCGTGTTTTTGTGTTCCCTCTTTTCACTCCTTGCCCTCTCTCTGTACTTCTAGAACTGCAATGGATAATCCTTATTTAAAATATCCCTGTTTTGTATTTCTTCTTCATAGTTTGATGACGTTAAAAATTGTGACCTGTTAAATACAATTATAAATTTGGTTGCTGGTTTTTTTAATCTCTTGAATAATGTTTTGGGGAGCTATACAGGGGCCATGACTCAGTAGTGGCACATCTGCTTGGCATGCAGAAGGTCCCAGATTCTAGCCCTGGCATATCCGGTTGAAAGAACCAGGTAGCGGGTGATGTGAAAGACCTCTGCCCGAGACCAGTCTGAGTAGACAATACTGGCCTTGATGAACTAAGGGTTTGATTCAGTATAAGGCATCTTCATGTGTCCATACTATTCCTGAACAAGCCTAATTCAGGGAGGGCTTCTAGATTCCTGGCCCCACTGATGGACCTCCTGATGGCACCTGGTGTTTTTGGCCACTGTGTGACACAGAGTGTTGGACTAGATGGGCCATTGGCCTGATCCAACATTGGCTTCTCTTGTTCTTATGTTCTTATGTTCAGTAGATCTTTAACAGGCCTTGCTTGTTTATATTTTTGGATGATAAAATCAGATGCTTCAGAAATTGATGCAAGGATGGTCTTTTAATTTTCCTCCCTGTTGTTTAATAAAGAGTTATTAACACAGCAAGATCTATAGCAACTAATCCAACAAGATATTTTTCCGGCCTTCAACAGGTATAACTAAATTTATCGTGCTCACAATTCTACCAAATTCCACTACATATTCTGGGTCCTGTGTGGAGCAGGGAACAGAGGAAGAATTCTGAACAAGCCTTGTTTAGGGCAGTCGTTGTTGGTAGCCTTATTCCGTAGCTTGTTTTGTTCATGAATACAAATAGTAGAGCATTTCTAAAATGTTGCCGTGCCCATGCTGCCACATTTTGAACAGTAGTGTATTTCTAAATTTTATCATTCGTCTTATGAAAAGAAAGTCTGCAAGTGAATATGCTATATTTTGATTCTGAAACAGTGCTACAGCATACACTTATATCTATATCGTCCCTTTTTTATCCTAAATCAGCTGTATACACGAGGGGAAAGTTTTTTTAAGAGTTATATGACAAACTTTTGAAATAATATAGCTTCTGCTTTTCCACAGGAGAAAAAGTGATGCAGGATGATGAATTTACTTGTGACCTCTTCCGTTTCCTTCAGTTACTCTGTGAAGGACACAGCTCAGGTTTGTTAATTGAATGGCAGTTATCAAGTGTTTGAAGGAACCACCTTTTAAAAGGCTCAGTGTAGAAAGTTAATAGGTTTACTTATTCCTAATGAATGTACAAGCCCCAACCTGGATAGCCCAGGCTAGCCTGATCTTGTCAGATGTCAGAAGCTAAGCAAGATCAGCCCTGGCTACTATTTTGATGGGAGACCTCCAAGGAATACCAAGGTTATATGTAAAATATAAGAATCTGAAACTATGTAAACACAAGAATCCACAAAAAAGTGACCTCGACACAAATAAATTCCAGCAAAGAACAAACTTTTAAAAACAATAAAAACACTTGAAACTGACAGAATCTTACCTAAAGCAGCATGGCAAGCCAATACCAAGACCTGAGAGACACAGAAGCACATGGGGGGGGGGGAGTAGTCCTGGGACACTGAAAATGCCAGCTCCCGATATTCCCAGTTATTCACAAAGATTTCTGAGATTTTTCCACACCCCCTTTTTGTTATCCCAAAAGATCCCAGATATATGTAGGAAACCTGATCATATCTGAAAAATACCAATAAGGTATTTTTCTGATATATATTTAGTTCATTTATATCCGAGAACAGATTCCTAATACTGATTTTTGTGTTGATTGGAACATTGAAAATCATTATGTCTTCTCTAGGGCATGAATTAATATGAAAAGGAAATTAAATAATGAACTAAACCATTCTTCTTGGATGGTTGTTTTATTAGCTCAATTGAAAGGAACTATGGGATGTTTGTCTTTCTAATGTCCAAAGAAACAGTACCACTGGTCATGATATTAACTCCCCTTCTGATACAAATGAAGGTAGAACAAAAAAAGTGGATTTAAATTTTAATTCTTTTCCAAGAGTGGCCTGTTTCCTCTTACTGAAACTCAGTGGCCCAAGTGCAACAAAAAGGCATAGTATGTCCTAAACACATTTGCACCCTTCTCTAAACCTCTTGACATGTGACCTTAGAAAGATGTAACTCTGCTTAGGGTAGCACTGGTAGTCTTCAGTATGCTAAAAAAAGAGAGCATTATTAAAAAGTTTGATAAAAGATATATTGGTATCAGCAGAAAGAATACATACATTGTAATGTTTCAGTACAGACAGTTTGGTGCAGTGGTCTGGAGCATGGACTCTAATCTGGGAGAACCGGGTTTGATTCCCCACTCCTCCACATGCAGCCGCTGGTGTGACCTTGGGGCAGTCATAAGTTCTTTCAGAGCTATTCTCTCAAGAACGGTTCTCGAAAGAGGTCTCTCAGTCCCACCTACCTCACAGGGTGTCTGTTGTGGGGAGGGGAAGGGAAAGGAGATTGTAAACGGCTCTGAGACTCCTTCAGGTAGTGAAGGGTGGGGTATAAATCCAATCTCCTCCTCCTTCTCCTCCTCCTCCCTCCTCTTCCTCTTCTTCCTCCTCCTCTTCTTCTTCTGCTTCATAATTTCCAAGGAATTTAAGATTGAGATAAATGCTAATTCGTTCTCCTTCTCTGTTTCTAAGATTTTCAGAATTACTTGAGGACTCAAACTGGAAACAATACAACTGTCAATATTATCATATCTACTGTGGATTATTTATTGAGAGTTCAGGTAAAATATTGTGTATGTGAACTGTTGTTAATGAGTTCAGAAAAGAGTTCATCATAAATCTTGGTCTCATAACATCAGTGTTCATTTTGCTTTATCATAAATAAAATTAGTGTATGGGTTTGAACTGGTTAAATATGGAGTACAGTAACAAAATACAAATGAAATCAGAAGCAGAAAACATATCATCCTTTATCCCTTTATTTTAAGAGTAAAAGATAAAATACAGTTTCTGGAAATCTCACCAAAGCACTGTCAGAAAGATTAGATAGCCTTGCACAACCCATATCTGAGAGATTCAGGGATGTTGTAGGTGGGGCTATATAGGCCTAGTTACATGAAACTGATATGACTCTATCAAAACTAATTAATTTATCTCCTTTGATTCTATGATGTAAGCATTTCCAAACTTAGAATTAACTTTCTCATAGCTATGTTGCAAACCTGCCATCTGGCTGTTCTTCAGTTTGCAAGATTTATTTCTGGAGACGTTTCTTGTGATTCAGTTATCTTTCCAAGGATGTGACACTAAGTAATTTTTTGAATTGGTAAAAATAAATTCTCAGGCCTGCTTTGTTCAATTGTATATCATTAACAAATGGGGAATGCAACTGTCTTATGTAAGAAAGAGCCACATGTTATCTAACTGTGATAAGCAAATTTATGATTACCATTGCTATCAGATATCAAGAAATTGGCAATAGGCAGAACTAGGTTGATCATTTAGCCATACATGTTTCCAAAATCCAGTGGTTTACATATGGAACACCTCTGATATAGATATGAAGCTCTCATACCAACAGAATGCTGCCCCACTTATTTTAATGATGCTAGCAAGGGCATTCTGTTGCCTCCCTTGACTTGAGGGTTGCATGCATTACTGACTATGAAGGAGTGCAGGTCAGGGTTGTTAGTAAGAAATGTTTATCATTGGAACAGGTTGTTTTATATAAGCAATAGAATCTCATTCTATGAGAGTTAGAAAAAATACTGAACAATAGGTACAAGAAATGTCTGTACAAAGCACCTCTGCTGTGGCTGTGGACTGAACAAAGTGACACCTTTACCATTTTATGATTCTGTGTAAGTTTATTTGAGTGATATTTTGTACTGTGTGTCAGATTGTTGATTAGAATAATCTCATGAAAAATAGCTAGTGAATATTTTCATAGAGCGTCCAAGTTTTTCTAATAATTATTTTAATGACAGTGTCTAAAAAACAAGAACTAATCAAACTTTAACTCCGTAATTCTGAGGAATTTATGAACATTTTACTTTCTTTATATATTTTGTCAAATGCATATTTACGGTGATAAGTTTTGGATCCATGTGTTTTTGATGTTTCTTCCTATCTTTTCAGGAATCAATTAGTGATTTCTATTGGTATTATTCTGGAAAGGATGTTATTGATGAACAAGGACAAAGGAATTTCTCTAAAGCAATTCAGGTTGCAAAGCAGGTCTTCAATACTCTCACAGAATACATTCAGGTAACACCGAAGAACATGCCAGGAGATTTTTTTAAAAAGAGTATTTGGGTGTAACAATAGGGGTTGTAGCATGGGATTAATTTTCCATGTAGAAAGTAGGTATCACTGAGACATCAGATTGAGAGAACCTCAGATGACCTTTATTACTTAAAGAAGACTGCAATCACGATGGTTTTCCAACCGATGATGTTTCATTGAGTATACTTTGTTAAATCCTTTGACGTGGATTTAACAACCATTTATGTAAGTTAGGAACTAATTCAAAGCTTTTAAAATGAGCAGTTTTCCATTTTTATACAAAGTTTAGGAGTTATTGTTTTATAAAAACTATCATAACTATATCATAGTTTTATAAAAACTATATAATACACCTTAACAATTTAGGCAAATGTGCATGCCAAAACTATCACATTTAACTGATGTGGAAGAGATTCTCTTAGAAAGAAGGAAACACAAATTGTGTTTTAAAAATCAATTTACCCTCTAAGAACTAGGAATTGTATCTCCAACAAACTATCAATCAGGGGATACCCAGGAGATAGTGTAAAATGTAGCACAGTGTGCTGCTGTTCAAGTAAAAACTGTGCAGAAATTGTGGACTCCTCTCCTGCAACTTGCATATGAAGTACCTTCTGCTGGCACAAAGACCTCTTTGGAATCAACCCTATAGAAGTATTCTGACATACTTAAAACTTATTTGCATAGTAGTAGACTGGGTACAGAAGCTTTGCTATGTAAATGGTGCTCCCCTTCTGCAATGTCTTCATGATTTGTTTAAATGCATGGACAATTCTGTGTACTTAAATGGATATGTGTATGTCGAACGATATTCTTTATTTGAAGTGAATGGGGAAACTTTGTCATGAGAGGTCCATGAGATTCTGGCTCAGGATGAGTAGTAATTTCTTTTGTTCATTGGAGTTATTCCAATTACAGTTATGTGATGGCTGTTAACTGGCAGGTGAACTTGATACCGTTATCTTCCTCTTCTTAACATGGTAACACTGTTCTTCTTTTGGATTGATGGAATTTCTGCAGGGACCTTGTACAGGTAACCAACAGAGTCTGGCACATAGCAGATTGTGGGATGCAGTGGTTGGTTTCCTTCATGTGTTTGCCCATATGCAGATGAAGTTGTCTCAGGTACAGATTTTTTTTTTAAAGACAGATCATGTGCATTTAATTAAAGAAGATATAAACATTGTACATTGAACTAATTTTCTTACTGTGATATGATTTATATTTAAACTAGCAGTAAAGCCCATTGTGAAAGCAATACAACAAGATCTAGAAAGATGTGATGTGTAACAAATGCATAGGCTGGAAGGAGGTAAAGTAAATATTAGCAGTCTGTAAGTGAAAGATACAAATGTGGAAGTAAAGTCTCACACACCTTATGTTACACAATAGCCAGTGTCCAAGGTCACACAATGTGAGCCAGAAAATGTTGCACACAGGGGTCTGTGGAGTATTGTCAACAACTGGGCAGTCTGCAAAGTCATTTTATGTTGGATGTCTGTGTCATTCAGTGTGGTTGTGGTCGCACTCTCCACCCTGTTAAAACAGAGGTCTCAAGGGAAGGTGGGTTGAAAGTGAGTGGTCGTGATGAAAGTGTCAGTAGGTTACGTGGGGATGAGAAGGAGGAGT